ATAACTGCACTCTCTCTCACACAACACGCCTGCAGCAACAGTTAGGACTCCTTCCTCCCTTTTAAAAGCATTTTCGCTTCTGAGGACATTGTGGTTGTAAAGCCACATGTTAGCAGTCTGGCCCCAGTGTGATCAACCAGTTTCTGCGGGAATGTGACGGCGGAACCGGTTCGCAGCAGCGCGAGTCCCCCCCCCCCCCCCCCACCCTTTATCTAATAGCGTCGCGCTTACGATTTTATAGACTTTTTTTTTAGAGCTTTGGGCATGTCTAGCGTGTGTAATAATCTGGGGCTTGGGTGAATCACTTTTGAAAAGTTTTTAACTTACCCGGACACCGAGCTCTCTCCTTCCTCGCTGATGATTCTGACATGCTTGCGTTTAAGACGCTGCATCATCACTGTAGTACTCCCGTGCCATGCTAAGTCTGACCTACACACATTGCAGGTAACGAATGTCTTCGCCTGATTTAACTGAAAATGCTCCCAAACTTTACAAGTTTTTACTTTTTTGGGTCTCGCTGCTTCCGCCATGTTCCTCTTCCAAACACCTGCCGGCTCTGCGGTCTGCGCACAACGGCGGGCGGGAGGGGAGGGGGCTTTTGGAAGAGTTGTGCAACACAACAAATCGATGATGCAATTCGTTGCCAACGCTTTTAGTAATCGATTTTCATCGAATTTATCGATTCGTTGTTGCAGCCCTAAATTCTACTGTTATTTTTATGTGTCCAGACACACACACACACACACACACACACACACACACACACACACACACACACACACACACACACACACACACACACACACACACACACACACACACACACACACACACACACACACACACACACACACACACACACACACACACACACACACACACACACACACACACACACCTTCTGGAAGGTCGTCTCGTATTTCTTCTCCATCATGGTGGTGAAATGTGATCGGTCTGGTAGATAGTTTTCATAGTATTCTGGGTTGAACTTCTTGATCATATCTTTAAAACCTTGATCCGACCATGGACAGGGGTCTCATGTCCGTCACCAGCATGTTCAAAGTGGTCAGGACGTTGGCTTGTTGAGGTGTGCATGTGGTTGGCATTGTAAGAAACTCGTCCATTGTAGAAGAAGAGCGATTTTTTAGCACTGTAACGTAGCGACATAAAATAAATCCTTATCGTTTGTAACATTAGAGCAAATATGTGACACACAAACATGTTCTAAACATAATAAAATACAGTTGTTCCTAGACCTATGATGCTAGCAGCTAACAAGAGGTAAACTTACAGAGGCAACTCTTCATTCTCCGCCGTGACGTGCTTCCTCTTAAGGTGCTCGTGCATCGCCGATGTGCTCCCGTGAAATGATAGTTTCACCTTACAGAGTTTGAACTCTACTTGCTTCTCATTTGTTTTCCTAAAATGCTCCCAAACCTTTGAGCTCCGTTGCCGGCTCGTCATGATGTGTTATTTCTCCGGTTGTTCTGATTTGAATGCTGAGCTGGATTGCTAATATCGCGCATGCGTGCACAAACCTAAATGTTTTCCATGTCTCTGCTTCGGCACATTTGATTTACGTTGGCTCCTCAGGAGGACATCACATGCTGCAGATGCCTGTTAATCGCTTATTCCTTTAAGTCAGGTGTGTGGCAGCAGTTAAAAAGGCAACATGGAAAACAAACATGCAGGACAGTGTGCCCTGAGGACAGCAGGGTTGGGAAACACCGGACTAGATAAAGCCACCACCTATGATTTTCACATATTATTCATTGAAGATGAGATTTGTTACGCACACAGGTCTCTACACATTTCCATGTACTACTGATCCAATAGGAACGTACCATGCCAGCAAATGGGGAGGGCCAAACTGAGAATAAAAACGAATAGAGATTCAGCCTTTTTGACCATCGACATATAAATATTGAACAATGGGTTTCCATAGCCTCCAATAACACGTTTTTGAAGAAAAATGGGAGGTGGCCACTACCGCCATTTTGACCGTGTCACAGGTTCCGCCAAGCCCAGACAATTCCACAAAAAGGGAGAGAGGTGGAGCTGAGGGTGGGGCTGTAAGGCTGGGATCAACTGACAACACCCGGTCCAACTAGCTACAAGCTAACCTAAAGCTAACCCAAAGCTAACGCGGAGGTGGGAGCTAAGCTAACGGAAGTAGCAACCTAGCTACAACCGGAGTTAACTGTGCACAACACCAGAGCTTCTGAGTCAGAGATACGCCGGGCTGACCGCTGGGTAAAACCGGGTGGAACACAGAGGTCTCCAGAGAGCTCCACAAGCCGGCAGCCGCACAGCAGACAAGCGCCGCTGCGATCTGAGATGCGCAGAGCTGCCGCTGGAGAGAACCAGGTGGAAAGGTTTCCATCCCAGAGCTCCACAAGCCGGCAGCCCGCGCATCAGACAGAAGTCGCGATCGGAGAGAGATGCGCCGAGCTGTGGGGAGGGGAGAACCAGGTGGAAAACAGAGGTCTCCCGAGAGCTCCACAAGCCGATAGTCGGAACCCAGCTCCACCAACATGTTATGGGGCAGCAGTAGCTCAACAGGTTGAGCGGGTTGTCCAGTAATCAGAAGGTTGCAGGTTCGATCCCGGCTCCGGACAGAGAATTCTGCTGTTGTGTCCTTGGGCAAGACACTTAACCCACCTTGCCTGCTGGTGGTGGTCGGAGGGACCGGTGGCGCCTGTGCTCAGCAGCCTTGCCTCTGTCAGTGCGCCCAAGGGCAGCTGTGGCTACATTTTAGCTCTTCACCATCAGTGTGTGAATGTGTGTGTGAATGGATGAATGATACACTGTAGTGTAAAGCGCTTTGGAGTCCTTACTCTGAGATAGTGTTGTCAAAAAAATCGATACCTAGATAAAAATCGATACTAAAAGTGGTATCTAACTTAGATATTCCATCCCTGTGGTATTGATATTATGGACTATTATACACAGCCTTCTTCAAGTACACCGACACGCACGACAGCCAGATGCCGTAAAGCAACCTCCGCCTCCCAGACAAACAGAAGAAGCAGACGCCGCATGGGTATATTGCAATTTCCCACGCGAGTTGTCTCCGATCCAAGTTTTGTCTGCCAAATAAAGAAACAAAAACATAAACGGCGAATTTGGGAGAAGCTTCACAGCCCAACTTAATTAGCATACCAAGTCCGACACGTAGTTGTATATTCACGCTTATGTGCTTAAAGGAAAACTCCCGTTTATTGCAACCCGGACTTAATTTCTAGCATGCAGTACGTTTGTTTACTCATGCTGACAACATTGGTGCTATTTGGATTCCCCGGGGTATTTAGATCCATCGGCGAATCGCCATCAGTGTATATCCATATAACGGGTGCGGACGGGCACCCATGGTGCAGCCTTGAAATAAGACATTTTCTGCACCAAAACATCTTCATGTCGAAAGGTTTTGTTAGGAATCATTAACGTGATTCCCCCTGTTCGTTTGGAGCGGGTCTGGGATTTCTAGGCGTAAACAGACTAGCTGCGGCTAATTAACCGGCGCTTTTAATGACGTCACTGCCGTGCGCCAATCTGTTTTTATTAAGATTACCGGTAGATGTACCTTTGTCCTACTGTGGAGAAATTCGTTCTCTCCCTTTATTGACCAACAGAGTTGTTCAAAAGTACAGAACAAAACATATGGCATTACATCTTATGACAAAAATGCTACTTAAACAGAGTTTAAGCAGCAAAACATCACTCTGCAAATAGTGTATATATAGTGAGACAATTCATGATTTAAAGTGTTAACTTTTGCCAGTTTTTGTATGCACATTTAAAAAAATGCTGATACTTGAAAGGTTTAAGCACTTTATAAACTTAATTCTTAACATTTAATTTTTGCAATATAAATTGAGGAATGTTATTTTTTGAATAAACTTGTTCAATAAATTGGTGTTTTTAAATAGTATCGAAATCGAGTATCGAGTTTTTTCTTCTTCAAGTATCGAATCAAGTTTGAAATTTTAGTATCGTGACAACCCTACTCTGAGAGGCGCTATACAAGTGCGGGTCATTCATCATTATATTTTTCTAAAGTGCAGCATTATGTTAAATGCACTGGGTTTTACCCTATTACATTTAAATTTCATGGTTAAACAGTACATGTTAAAATCTAAGCTCAGCAGTGACCTAAAATACATAAATATAATTTTACTTACCGAAAAAAATGAAGTGGAGACTCCTTGGACGCTCTATTTGTGCAATTAATGCCACAGCACGTCATTTTGTCCAACAATTGCACAAATAATATCCAAAAAAGAACGCACAAACGCTACAACTAATGGTCTAAGTTGAGAGACTGAAAATGAGCGAACAGTTTCCAGGCCAGACCAAGGCTCATACTGAGGCCTTTCCACGGAGCTAGCTCTGTGGTCACATGGGTCTGATGCTCATTAATTATACAGAATTTTAGGCTTTTAATACACTTAAACAGAAGAGTGAGAAAAAAATTCACCCCCCTCAGAGTTGTCATGAGTGTAAACTAGATCATTTAAACCAAAAACATGTTTTGGAACCAGGCTGTAAACATGTTTATTTCTGCTGTGAAATTGGTATTTCTAACATAGGAGTCAATGAGGATTTGCTCGCTTCTGACACCAGCCCCCAGCGGAAGAGGGTGGTACTGCAATTTATTTCATTTCCACGTTTGCTTCAATTTTTCACCCGCATTGTGGGGGCTTGTTTTTCACTGATGGCTTCAGGAGGTCGCATAGTCTTGTTTGAACCGTTTTTTTTTCATGTTTTTTATACCAATTTAAGTCCAACCTACTGAAAAATAATCATTTATGGATGCGTAGCAGCAACAAAGTAGTCTTCCTCCCCTGGGAGTAAAACATTAATAGCATAAAGTCCGCTAGCTGGAGATGATCTACACAAGAAAGCAGCTCTCTACACGCCTTAAATAATAACAGGACACGGCCCCGGGCTAAATTATTGTCCCAGTCCGTCTCTGCACGAGTCCCGCTGGTGTTTCTTACCTGCTCTGTATGAGCTGCTCCGTGGTTCCGAGCTCATATCCGACAGTCTGTGCTGACCGCCGAGCCCTTCCTCGAACTGGGCCAAGGCTTCTTCAACCTTCCTGATGATTTTTCTAGCAGTAGCTACTTGCTTGTTGACAAACTCCATCAGAGACTCTCCTGAATACATGTTTACCAGAGACTCAACTAGTCACCTCACACAACAAACAACTACAAGCTAACTTTGCTAACGCTCCTTCACTTCTTCTTCTTCCTGGTGGTGGTGGTCAGCAATCAATGAACTTGTGAGTTATCGCCACCTGCTGAACAGAACGTCACCTATAAAGACACTTAACCTCCTGACACCCAAATTTGTATTTGGTGGAATGTAGAATGAAATTTAATTTAAAAAAAATAACAGGTTTCCTAGAAAAAACAGAAACAAAACATATTTTAAACTTAAATTCTATATCAAATGTTTCTAAATATAAAAAAGGTCTGTAGGCGCCAAATTGAATGTTTTTGTTTATTAGCCATGGCGCAGGTGTTTTAATATGTCTTCGTGCTGCAGGTGACAGCGGGGGGCGTGGTCGCCTACCTCTTCCAAACACACCCACATCACCCCGCTTCTCCTCCAGCTTCATTGGCTGCCAGTCAACTTCAGGGTTCATTTCAAGATCCTGGTTCTGGTCTATAGGGCCTTACATGGACAAGCACCCTCTTACTTTGGTGATCTTCTTAGTCCCTACACCCCCAGCAGGTCCCTGAGGTCCAGTGATCAAAGCCTACTGGTTGTGCAACGCACCAGGCTAAAGACCGAAGGTGACAGATCATTTGCTGCTGTGGCCCCCAGACTCTGGAACTCTCTCCCCCTGAGTCTGAGATCAGTGGACTCAGTGGTCTCCTTCAAAAAGCAGCTGAAGACACACTTGTTCAAGCTGGCTTTTGTATCAATCAATCAATCAATCAAATTTTATTTCTAAAGCGCTTTTCAAACAAAGTGTTATTCAAAGTGCTTTACAAAATGACCCCAGATTCCCATAACAGGTTAAAAACATTAACAAACATATGCAATCACACACACACACACACGAGTAAAAATTATATTAGGCTGAGTCCAGATGAGCCAAGTATGGTAACGCAAGGAAACGCCATCAGAGGAGCCGTCTGTCCCGGCAGCATCAGGTCTTCCACACTAACTCAGGGCGCTCAGTGGAGGGGGAGCATAGACCCCCACCTGTAGAGCGCCCAGGAAGCTACAGTCGACCACCGCTCCCGGGGCAGAGGGCCCCCACAGAGGAAACACTGGATTAAAATGAGTAAAAATGTAATAAAAGAGCTAATATAAATGACAAAAATTAGAAAATAAGTAATAAATAAAATCATATAGACAGTAAAATAATAATTTAAATAATAAAACTGTGCTAAAATATAATCATATAGAACATGCAAAGCAAGTAATAAAATATAATCATGTAAAACGAGAAATAAAACTGTAGTAAATATTTAGATAAAAGCTAACCTAAAAAGATGGGTCTCTCTTTATTCTGCTCTCCCCACCTATTCCACCTTCCTCAGGATCCCTCTTTCCTGTTCACTCTCTCTTTCTTAACATTTTTTTAATCACAATTTGTCTATTTTTGCTCATTTTAAATATATTTTTAAACATTTTCTAAATACTTTTTTATATTTTTACATTTTTTGTTTTTGTGAAGCGCCTTGTGATTTTTATCTTGAGAGGCGCTATAGAAATGATATTTTCTTCTTCTTCTTCTTCTTCTTCTTCTTCTTCTTCTTCTTCTTCTTCTTCTTCTTCTTCTTCTTCTCTTATCTGTCAGTTGAACGTCCACCTAGTTAGTGAGCGATTGTCATGACAACTTTTCTGTTGACCATCGTTATTGTCGTTACTTTAAACCATTTAATATAACAGAAGCCAATTAATTAATCCCAACCTATGTATTATAATAACCACGAATAAAAAACAAATAAGACAATTCAGAATGGTTTGTTGGAGGACGCGTCACAGCCTGGCTCGCTCACCCACAGCGGCGTTTTCAATGGAAGGAAGCCGCTACAATTAGTCAACAGAAAAGCTGCTCCATGCATCAAACAAGAAGAGGATTGTGACGAAGGACTGTGCGGAGTGACGGCTTTGTGGATTGGAGGATTACTACGATTGGAAGGAGTTTTGAAAGCGGCCGCACTCAGGCAATGGAAACGGATCAGCTGAATCTGCTGTCATTAATGGAAAGCAGTGCAACGCCCCCATCTGAAGCGGTAGGATGCTGATTTACCCTTTGTATAGACCCTTTTACTACCTACGTCATCAAAAGTTGCATGCGCAGCCTGGCAACGAGAGTGAAGGCTTCCTCATTCACACTCGATACTAAAACAGCGTTTTAAACCCTTTGTTTTGGAGTTCTGAGCACATAAAAATGTCGGGTTGTTGCGTGTATGGATGCCAGAATCGCTTCTCTTCAAGCAGTGGACTGAAACTTTACAGAATTCCGAAGGGAGCACATCCATTTCAACAAAATCGGAGGCGTCTGTGGCTGCAGGCAATCAAAAGGGTTGATGAAAACTGGACTGAAAACACGATCCGAAATGCTCGAGTTTGTAGCGCCCAGTTTATATCAGGTAGGGTAATTATGTACTAAGATTACATATAAATTTATACGCTTTATTTCATGCTTCAAATTAACATTTCATTCTAATTCATCTGTATTTTCCCACTGCATATTAGTATAAACTGTATTTCACTAAAATTAACACGATTGTACTCTGAGCACGCTAAAAAAAGAAACCTATGCTATACTCACCCTGCCATGCAGGTACAGTTGGCTGTGAAGACGTAGTTCTCTGGTTTGTTTACTATGACCCAAGCCTCGTACACAGCAGTCTTGTGTCCTTGTCTTTGGCTAGGAAGGACTTCTGCCTTCAAGACGCAAAACTCAGTCTATGTCGTGATATTTTACTTTCTGTACGTGGCAACAGACAACATAGTTGTATGCATCTAACGATTTGTATGCCCGTAGCTTCTCACGTGTGTACTTACTGGGCCTCTCCACTAAAAACGGATATATATCGGGCCACTGGATATCTGGCCACGCACCTACATCTTCCACCCATTCCGTAATGCCACAGGGACCCGGGAGTCTGTTGCCATTCGTTAAAGTGAGTTTAATAATATAACATTCAAGATTTGCCAGTGATAACCCCGCAGCGTAGCTTGATAAAGCCTGAAACAACGCCATTCTCTGTTGCCAAGCTGCGCGTGCATTCTCACTGACGTCATATTGTTTACAAACAGTAAAAGGGTCAATTGGTTGAACGTAGGAACACAGGTTGTAAGTCACGGCTTGTCCATTGGGGACATTGTTGGGGTGTGGCGTGCGTATGCCAGAGAGCAAAGGTTGGAGGAAGCTGCTGTGTATTTCACCTCGATACGCAGCAGACTGTGCGTATTGGTTCGCCCGTTGTCGCTGGGCCAGAAGTTCCTACAGAGATAATTTCATCAAAGGAAGCACAGGACCCACAAGATGAAATAAAATCAGAAGATAGCATTTCAAATGTGGGAAGTAAAAGAAGTAAAGGAAGTTTAGCTGGCTCGAACTCCAGAGTGTCAAGTGCAACCTCTGCTCGGATAATGGCAGAAGCAGAAACAGCTGCTCTGGTTGTCAAACAAAAACTGCTTAAAGATAAGCATTTCTTACAGGAACAAGAGGCACAATTAAGGAGAAAGAGGGAGCAATTGGAGCTGGAAACAGACATTGCCGCTAGTATGGCAAAGATGAAAGTCCTTATAGGCTCAAAGGGATCCAGCATTAAAAGTAAATCGTCAATACCATCTGATGGTATGATGTCATATTTTGAAAAGACATTATAGGAAGCAGCAAGTAACGTGTCAGACATCAGAACTGGTGCTGTTGCATATAAAAAACACATGCACAAGTTACCAGAATGTAACGCTGCAGATTCACGACCACTTTTTACTACAGAAAGAGTCACAACTCAAACTCAAACCCATTCTGCAGATCTCTTGACTTCCCAAGCAAACACCAGAAGTCCACCTGCAATTCGACACGTCACATCTCAACTTTCTGGTCAAGAAGGAAATTCCAACATTATATCTGTGATGATTAAGCAAAACAAACTCACAGCTTTACTGATCCAGCAACAAGGCCTTTCTGCATTACCCAAGAAGGAGATACCAAGTTTCGATGGTGATCCACTTCAGTATCAGACTTTCATCAGATCCTTTGAACACAATATTGAAAACAGGAATAAAAATCCTGGAGACCAACTTTATTATTTGGAACAACACACCAGCGGACAACCAAGAGAACTTGTTCGGAGTTGCCTGCACATGAGCCCAGAAAGAGGATTTGAAAGAGCAAAGTCTTTATTACAGCAGCATTTTGGAAACAAACACAAACTTGCTACAGCTTATATGAACAAGGCTCTTTCTTGGGTGTCAATTGAACCGGAAGACACAAGGGCTCTTCAAGCATACACAATATTTCTTAGAGGTTGTTGTAATGCTATGGAGGATCTGAACTATATTAAGGAGCTTGATATGCCAGCCAACATGCTCGCCATAGTAAAAATGTTGCCCTATCGCCTTAGAGATAAGTGGAGAACATTTGTCTGTGACTTATATGAGAAACATAATCAACAAGCTAAATTCAAGGACATGATTGATTTTCTTGAAAAGCAAGTAAAGATTGCATCGGATCCAGTTTCCGATTCCAGGGGACATCAAAGATGTGCACACAATGAACAAAGACACAAGGAAACTGAAGTCGCAAGCTTATTCAAGATCTAAGGAAAGTTCTTTTGCAACTTCTGTGACAGCAGCTGAAAAGGAAAATGACGACGACAAGAAAATGAAAATTAACAAAGAGCACATGTATTGCTTGCTTTGTAAAGACCATGTTTTAGAAAGGTGTCAAGAGTTTGAAAGTAAAACACATAAAGATAAAATCACCTTTCTAAAAGCAAAAGGTGTCTGTTTTGGATGTCTTTGTAAAGGTCACATTAGTAATGTAACGGAATCAAAGTGATGTAACTATCTAAAGTTGTATTTTAATACACTGTTAGTAGTTCACTTTTTATAAACAGAAGAATAGGCTGTTTTTATCATCAGGGAGTTTAATTAAACACTCTGTATTGACTTTGAGACAAGAAAAGAGAGAGAGATGGGATCGTTTGAAAATCTTTAATTTCTGAATTATAAATTCTAAACAATCTACCAGGACTAACTCTGTGATGAATGAAAATGGATTCGGATGTTGTGTTGGTGCGTGTGTGTGTGTGTGTGTGTGTCTGGTTCAGATTCTCTAGGCTGACGTGTGAGAATCTGGTCGTCTTTGTTATGACTAGATATCACGGGGCTTATAAAGTGATGACATGAGCCGCTATTTTGCCGTGTACGTACCCAGTGGGGGTCTCCCAGGTAGATCAGGAAATGCCAGGTCTGGAGACCTCGGATGTACGGTGGAGCTGTCGGTGCAGCGATCACAACGTTTCAAAGCCCGTCTGGAGGGTCGACCCCGGTACCGTTCGGCGGCGTCAGCAGGTGCTCTTATTTTGAAAGGACGTCGTCTGGTTGTTAAACGACGAAAATCTCCCGTTTCACAGTTCTTAGTTTAAAGAAGAAAACACATCTGGCCAGGCTGCGCTTTTCTTTAGGATGATGGTGAATAGAACTGAAGTCAAAAATGGAACTGACTTAAAATGGCGTTGCCTTGTTTTATATCTCTGAATTGTTGATAAGTTGGAGTAAAGTGGATTGGACACTTGAAGTCAACACCAGATTCTCCTGCGGCAGCCGAAAGCTCTGATTGGTTGGAACAATGTGTCATGCGTTTCTATGGAGATGAGGATCAGTATGTGTTACAAGTCATCCTCCCAAACTAGCTGACTCTTTAATAAACACTACGTCTCAGGGTTGACTTGTAATTCTATTTGTGCGTGAGCGTGACTCCAGTTTGACCTTACACCTCTGTGAGCTAATCAGCGATCATCTTTACCTAGATTTAGACTCTGGCAAACATACTTTAGCAGCACAAAGGAAGACTCTTGTTATAACTTCACCACAACTCAGTCACCTGCAGCTTATGCTATGCCCAGGTTAAAGACTTTAAGTTTAAATGTAAACCTCTTGGAGCGGGATCAAAAAGTAACCAGCGCCTCACCTTTCCGGCGTTACACGACACGATTGGAGACCCCAGGCTGGAGATTCCGTTTAAAGCCCCTTATATGAAGGAGCAAATATTTTATTTTATATGATGAAGTAAAAATATTCCAGATTTCCCGACGCAGCGGGTCAGATCACTCAACCGTTACAGTTGTCCTCCGAACTCTTCTCCAACACCCAAAAAGCCCCAGACCGACCTCCTTCTCCCCGGAGCCCTCACCCTTTTATTCTCCTCAACTCTCTCCTCCTAGCCCCCCTTCCGTCTCCATGGCAACCCCTGCCTCGGAAACATTCTCCGGCCTTGGGTCCTCTCCCAGCCCCCTCCGGTATCAGTCAGATGGGCGGGGGTCTTCCCTCCTCCTTCTTCCTTCTTCAGCTCAGATCAAAGGAAGTCAAACATAAACATCTCTATACGTGTCCCTGAAGTTCTTATCACATCCTAGGCTACACCATAAAAAGTCGATACAAGGTTAAACTACAACATAAATTTGTCATGGATAGCAGATTAGTTGAAACACACACATCATTTATGGCAGCATGAGATCAGGAGTCAAATCACCACACACAGACCTCTAGCTGAACCCTGAAGCCTGGTTTCACTAACATACAGATTTGAGATGTAATCCAGAACTGCTATTATATAATAAGACAGGTCTGGAGGAATCGAAAATCTTTATTCAACACCCCCCTTGAAACCAAGCTTCGTTAAATGGCATAAACTGCGGGAAATACTGCATATTCAAATTTCCTGGATACAAGTAAACATGTGGATTTATTGCATTCATCACTGGTGGTACTATGGCCTGGACAGACGGAGCGGCCTGAAGCTGCCGACGCAGATCGAACTCCGGAGGGCTCACTTCCTGCATCGGAACGTCCACTTTAGCAGGTGATGGTTGCATCCTGACCACACGCCTTGGCTCTTCGCCCTCCTGCACGTAGTCGTTGTGGGGTGTACTGATCCAGCACCAGTCGACGTCGCCCTCTCTGAAGTGAGAGAGTGCACAGGGCAAGCGCGTCTGGCCCCGTGACACATCGCGCCTGACACAATCAAAATGCTTAACTAGAGTCGAGCGTGTAATTCTCTGAAGAATCTTCTCCCTCCTCGCCACTCGAGTCCCTTTATGACTGGTACCATCAGAGACCAACACAATACGTTCCCAAACATGTGCGTTCCACGGTCCATTCGGGTTTATTCTTACAGGTTTACCATCCACCAGCCCGTAAAGTGAAACTCTCTTGGGTGGTATCACCCCAGGCTGACGTCGCTTGTTCACCAGCGGCTTCTGTCCACTGGGTGGCAGCACCAGCATTTCCTGAGAGTCTGGGCCAGGCAATAGATCCTCTGATTCATCAACCTAAAAACACACACAGGCTGTGTCTCAATTCAGGGTCTGCATCCTACCTCGGCCGGATTCGTCGGCCGGTTACGTCACAGCGCCGCGACTCGGCCTGTCCCAATTCGAAGACTCCTTCAAATGCGGTCGACGAATGCGGCCTTCTTTTCGCCTGAATGAAGGATGGGTCGGGTGTATCCTTCAATAGGTAGCATTTCCCAAGATGCCTTGCGAGCCGGCCGGCAGAAAAACTTAAAAACAATGGCGGACAGTGAAGCGGGAGCTGTCGGAGAGGATTGCGCATATAAATGTAAGTATAAACTTGAAAACTGTCAGTTTAAGGACTTTTTGTGATACATGAACGTTATTTTAGTTAGAAATGTTACAGTAAAAGTGCTTGTATTGCGGTCTCGGCTCGTATGTTCGGCCGCGCTCGGTGTCGTACTTCTCCCACTACGTTTCCCCCTGATTTTAATAGAAGTTTGTATTTTAGGACCAAAAGAGAAAACCAGGGAATTTATTAAGCTTAGGGCGGAGATGGACCACATGATCACCGGAGCAAAGTATTCGGCGGCTGTGGCATGGAGGTACAATAACATCTCATATTTTAAAAACTCGTTTGAGTATATTTTTTTCTGCGAAAACATGAAAGGAATAACCCGTTGTCCTCTTTTCTCTTCCTGTTTCTTTTCTTACATGTTTGTTAAGACTATTCTGGAGAAAATGGGCATCCAGGGGAAGGTGCCAGCGATGAGCTTCTGGAGCTGATCTGGGAGGACATGAGGCTGCAGAGCAGCAGAGAGCACAGGAGAGAAGGAAGAACTTTGACAGCTTTTTACTTTGCTAGAAAAAAATGGTTAATGAAGATTAAACATGTACATGTAAAAGAAATATCTAAATAAAATCAGTTCTGCATTAAACTCTTGAATTTTATTTTTGTTTACAAATGAGAATTGTTTACTAGAGGGTATCCGCTGGGTCTTGAAAAGTCTTAAAAGGTGATAAATCGGTTTTGGTCAAAGTAAGACCCTTAGAAAGTATTAAAAACTATTATCACATCTTTGCTCAGGCTCAGCTAGTCTAAAGTATTTTCTCTGAATTAGCTCTCCAACAGTCAAGGAAATGATTAACCCCCAGAGACCCACGGTTGTAGTATTACAACATCAGATTTAAGTCTACAAAAATAAACCTTCCCCATTTTTTTTCTTTTTAAAACCACATTTACATTGCTAATAGGTCCTATTCAGTTCTGCAACACTATTGGCTGTTAAAATGTGTAAATAGGCCCGTTCATCTGGCCTCCTAGAACAACATGTGAAAGGTTAAAAAATATTTTGCAGTTGTTTTCTAAATTTGGGTTTCTGGGGGTTAAAAAGCTAAATAAAACGTCGAGCTCCATCGTTTAAGGTTCCTTCTGCCCAGCGGTTCCACGGTTGCTAGGCGACGGAACGTTCGCCGAGGGAGTTCATGAAGGCTAGGCCTGTCCAAATTCACAGCCGTTAACATCCGGTCTACCCGGCCGACGGAGGACGCAGCCCACGTCGGCCGGGTGGGCTGGGTCCTTCGAAGGATGCAGACCCTGAATTGAGACACAGCCACAGAGACACTAAACAGACCCTGGTTCTGGTACCAATCACACATGACCTTTATGACCCCACTAGGGGTCAGCAGCACCCTACCATCCTCTGTGAACTTGAGGTCAGGTCTTTCTCACAAAATGCAGCCAGACACTTCTTCATCATTAATTCTGTTAGTACAACACATCCATATAATGATATCAAACATGCCACTAATAGGTATGTAAAAATCCTAGAGACCTCTAATGCAGGTCACAGGTCTTCACTGCTTCCCGCAGGAATTACACAAGTTACAGCATGCAAATTAGTAACCACAATGAATAAGTGGGCTTTTCCATCCTGATCAGATAACAGGATGTACCAATCATTCTCTCATCATGCATTAAGCAGAAGTTATCACATCAACATTCCAAGAGTCCTCAGCTAGGCCTCTTGTGCATCTAATATTAGCATATCTCGCCGGTAAGATTAACCCAATAGAGACAGTCTTACCGAGGTAATCAGCACATCCTCATCTGCTTCTCCAAATACCTCACGTGGAGATTCTGCACGGGCCATGATTCCTTGAGAACTTTCTCTTCAAGGGAGATGCTACCTGCGTGCAGCTCTGTTCCTGAGTGCCCGGCGTCCACGTGGTCCCAATCTAATTGACTCAGGAGGCCCTTCCTCCTGCCATCGGGGCTGATTAGCAGATCTCCTGTTGCAGCTGGCAAAACACTTCAAAAGATGCATGAGTTTAACACAAACAGATAACATCACCAGGACCCCTCCTACGATCACAGGGACCTTGGCGTAAACCCATAATTCAGAGATTATCAGAGAGGCAACACCCATTGCTCCCTGGGCGACCACCTTAACGGCCTCTCTGATACCTAAGGTTAATCCTTGGCCAATAATTTTAAAACCCTTCTGGACAAATTCCCAATCAGACA